AAACATAGATCCAAATCTAGGGTTGCATGTACACTAGGATTGTTTGGGCTTTGCAGCCAACGATAATGGAGATGTTACGCGGGAGAGCATTGCATGGAATGGATCGAGCTTGGCTGCCAGTGATCGTGGATACATCACACGGGAGAGCATCGCTTGGAAAGGATCGGGCTTGGCTGCCAGCGATCGTAAGTACATTATGCGGGAAAGCATCGCGTGGATTCATATAGGTAAAGGTTGCAAACCTTTGAGCCTCGTTGGCGGAGCATGCCATTTATGGAGTCGAGCTAAGAAGTCAGGCGATTCTCAATGAACCTCGCATGCAGAGCATGCCGCTATAATAGAGTTGGGCTGAGAAGTCAGGCGACTCAAGGCGAGGGTACCGAATCTCGTATGCGGAGCATGCCACTATAATGGAGTTGAGCTGAGAAGCCAGGCGACTCAAGGCGAGGGTACTAAACCTTGCATATGGAGTGTGTCGTTATAATGGAGTCGGGTTGAGAAGCCATGCGACTCAATGTGAGGGTACTGAACCTCGCATGCGGAGCTTACCGCTATAATGGAGTCGGGCTGAGAAGCCAGGCGACTCAAGGCGAGAGTATTGAACCTCGCATGGGTAGCTTGTTGCTATAATGGAGTCAGGCTGAGAGGCCAGACGACTCAAGGCGAGAGTACTGAACCTCGCATGGTTGGGCGTAAGAATATACAATCTTTTGTTTCTAGACCGGATGACCAGTCTGGGTTAAAGTGTAATAGCACCTGATGCTCTACTGCATCATTAGCTAGAGTGATGATTGGTGCCTCGCTGTCTTAGCTGACTACCAAGGGCTATGTAGCAACGCTATTGAGAGCTGGATGGTAGAGCTGCTATCAAGAACTGATCAGCAGGGCTGTTGAGAGCCGAGCATCGGGCTACTAGTGATAAATGAGCAACTCGACTACTAAGAGCTGGGCTACGAGACTACCAAGGGTAGAACCATGGGGTTGCTCTTTTGATCCGAGATATTAACGCCACCTCGGGGATGCACTATCACTCATTATTAGGTCTTTGTGTACTTCAACTATGCCCTTTTGGAATGAAAATCACTCTTGCATAGTGTTGTAACGACTCCTCCCCCCCCCCCCCCCCCCCATTTTCTCAGAAGAGGCGAAGGAAAGGAATAAAGAATGCATAGTTGTTGGGTAGCACGACTGCCGAGAGCTGGGCATCGAGCTGTTAGAAATAGATGAGCAACACGACTACTAACAGTTGGGCAACAAGACTACCGAGTGTTAGGCCACGATGCTGCTCTTTTAGTCCGGAATACCAATGTCACCTCGGGGATGCACTATCATGCATAGTGTCGGTTCTTCATGTACTTTAATTCTTCCCCTTGGGAATAAAAATTACTTCTTCATGGTATCGTACTAACCCTACTTCCCCCCCCCCCCCCCCTCCTTTTTTTTTTAAATGCTAGGTGATCCGGGCCGTAACACATCTTCTAGAACCGGATTTTACTGGAGAACAATGCCCCCAACATAAGAGTTATTGGAAACACTTGCAAATTATCAGTCGAGTATTTTTTTTTCCATGTAAATGATTTCCATAATACTGTCACCATTTTTTTTAGAGATCATCGAGCTGATCCGGGCTGTAACATATCTTCTAAACTCATATTTTGTTGGAAGAGATCTCAGCAAACGGGTACTGCGATTGACCATTAAAATTTATCTTGTGAGAAATATCCATTTTAATTGTTGAGCTAGCCCATCAGCTTAAAAAAAGCTGATTTGAGAGAGAAACCCAACCAAATGCTTAGCCCAACATAAAATTTCAGTCCAGTTATTCATTAATCAGCCCCAACTGAAAAATAACAGCCCAAGATGGAGTTGTGGGCCTACTTAGGAAGTGATCAACCCAAAATGAAACTATTATCGGTGCCCTAATTCCTTTTCTTTCGTCTATGTGAAACGTATTGCGTAGATGGGCTCTATACACTTCTTAGATTTGTTTTGTAGCTTGTGGTTCTTTGTCTAAGCAATCACACTACTATTTTCCTAAAAGATTTCAATGACATTCAAGACGCCAGCAATGACTAAACCTGACAATTTGATACACGACACGAACATTGTACGAGTTTTCTGTGTGTATGTTTTAGGAGGTGACGTTTCATGTTTATTCGTGTCTGACATGTATTTTAAATTCGTATTTTGTGTCTTACACATGTCAACCTATTTAAACACGTATGAAATACGATATAGATTCATGTGGACACATCAAACGTATAAACACCTATATACACATATACTTTGGGGTAAATTTTATATTTATAAAATATTAGCGATCAATTTCATATTTTAAGTTTGAACTTTGTACTTTGGATTAAGATTATTTGCATATTATTGTTATCCTAGCTTAAAAAGGGCATTAAAAACATATGTATTCGTGTTTTTCGTGTAATACGGTTAAAAAAACGTGTATTCATTTCGTGTCACACGAATTTTTTACGTTTCGTGTTTGATACCCCAAACATGTTTTATAATTCATATCGAGTTCGTGTTTAACAAATTTGTGTCATGTAAATTCATGTCTGACAAGAATACACAACACGCAAACACAGATTGCTAGGTCTAGCAATGAGTCCACAATCCACAATTAAGTTCCTCATCGAAACAGATTCCTTAGATGGACTGTGTGCTGCTATTTACCCTTCACACACAACTAAACTAGAGGTCTCACTTATATATTATAAACATACGTTAGATAAACAAACATTATTTTATAATCTAACTAGGCGAATTCTCGCGCGTTGCGTAGAATACAATTATATTGTGTAATATCCTAATTTTTTAACAAGTGGTTATTGGTTAGAAGTTTGTATGACCAAGTTAATAAAATTCATCAACGTCAAGATTAAAACCCGAGACATCCAATCTAAAAGGAAAAACCTCTACTAAGTGGCTTAACTCTACATTGATGTTTAATTAAGTATACATTTCGGTTTATGTTTTATATTTAAATATATAAATATCTTTTTAACTATTAGAAAAATATTTTTATGATGTTTTGATGTATGCTTGTCGTTTGAAACCATATTTATGTCAACCGATAACATATATGTATATATTGGGTTGAATAGAGTTTGTTTTAACGTAGACTAATAAATGATTTTAATGTATTAAAAAGATCAAATTAATGAAGTTAAAGTGAATGATTTAACTAAGTTTAAAAAAATAATAAATAAATAAAAATAAAAAAGGTTAATTACGTGAAAGTTCAAAAGTTTGTGTAACTTTCAAATGAATAATATGCATTAAGAAGACATTTATTATAAAATAAAATTCAAGATTAGTGAATAACTAAAAAATATACATATTTTAACAATACTCGTACTTTTTGTTAGATGTTTCTTTTATAATTTCAAATTTTATTATCATTTCTATTATTAATTATTAAGAATTTTTTGTAGGTTTAAGTTGTGCAAGTAGACTATTCGAGCTATGTGACTCTTAATAAAAGCTCAAATATTGTTTTATTGCGACTAATATGTTTGATTCCTTATTCAATTATTGTTGATTTTAGAAAATTATTGCATTGATCATTTTCAAGAATATGAACCATGTGAATAGAAAAAAAAACAATAAAATTAAAAACCAAGAGATACAACAATCCAACAAAAATTAACGACGGTAAAGGATAAAGTTTTGGGCATCATCTTTAAAAACATCAACACATTCAAATATTTCATTAAAACAATTTATAGAATATATAACAAAAAAAAAACTACCAAATTTCTCAAAATACGATAAACTTATCAGCTCATTAAATTGAATTTATACATCTCAATATGAACTTCAGCACAAAAACTTGCATATTGTTCAAATGTGAGGTAATATTCAACTTAAATATTTGTTTAATCTCGGAGTGTATATAAATCAGTACAACAAATTATACATATCACATAATAAGTAGAGTTGGAATCGTAAAACTTGAAGTTAAATCATCACCCTTGATTGCTCCATTCACCAATTCAAATTTACCCTCAATAATAAAAACTTATAATAAATGGATCGTGTATAACCTTTTCTTTCAAAAACATTTGTCGTACATGTATGCTCAATAGAATATAGTACCTATAGTGAATGGAATTAGGTGCATCTTTATACAAAAGTTTCTACCCCGAATATAACATGTGATATACCGGAAGCAACCATACAATGATGATCAGTTGGTAAAAACAAAAAAAATATATTGAAATTTATATGAAAAGCAATACACTCATAAAAGACTTTTTTTTCTTCTTTAAAGATCCATAATCAATGCAAAATATGACAAAGATATTCTTATTATTCACTGTATTTATACTTGGTATTATTATGTTTAATATTGTTCATGTTATTTACAGTAAAGAACCAATTAATAATCATTATTAAAAAGTTTTTTAAGTGGTATTAATTAAATTATGGGGTTTCAAATATATAAGAATCAAGGAAATTAAATTTAGAAGGTTTCAAATGCATAAGAATCAAGGAAAAAAATTTAGGGTTTCAAATGCATAAGAATCAAGGAAAAATACTTCTTTTATAAGATATATAGATAGATAATAGAAAAACCAGTTGTTTTTCGAAGCCGGGAAAATGACAAGTATAATAGCAGCAAAGAAACAAGAAACATGTAAAACCTAAATTTTCTTACTCTGATAAAAATAACTAATAAGCCATCATCATGATTTTGTTGAATTGAGGAAAAATGAGAAGCAAAAATTGAGCAAGCAGCCAACAAAAACCCAAATTTCTTTGCACAATCAGTAGAACCAAATTCCCCTGATAAACCCTAAAAACCCTACTACTCTCTCTCTCTCTCTCTCTACTACTGTATTCCCACAAAGTTGATGCATGCATATCCCATCCCTTCACTTCACTTCTGGACCAATATGTTTGTTATGTACTCCATTTTCAAAACTTTCTTCATTTGCACTTTTTCACCATTAATCAAACAAAAAGACACCCCACCCCACCCCACCCCAAAAATCAAAGTCAAGCATCCACCTTTGAATCAGATGAAATCTCCATCTCCATCTCCATCTCCCCCACTCTCATCAATACCTTCGCCTCTGTCCCCTTCAAAAATTTTGAGGCCGGCTTTAAACTCAAGTACTGCAATCACACACTTCCATGTCAGCATATGATTTTTTTTTTCTGGGTAAATGACCATTTGCCCTTCTAAGATTTAACACTTTATTTATCTATCTATCAAGTAAAAAAGTAACAAACATGTATATTTTCTTTCATGATTAGGTTAAAATAGCAATGATTAGTTTATTTTAGCTTCCTATTTTTATTGATTCCTATTATAGCCTTGTGGTTTGAAGAATCAACCCAATTATAGCAATGTCATCAAAATACAAAGCAAATTTCACCAAAAACAATAAGAAGAAATAAATAAAAAAACACAAAGCTATAATTGGGTATCTTTTTCAAAGTACAATGCTTCAAATTCAATAGAAGGAAACAAAAGGGTTTATCTTTTAACATATAAAAGGAATTTATAATTTATAAAAGTAGGTTGCTATTTCTTACGTTTCTGTAGAAAGAACTAATCTCCTCTTCAGTAAGACCTTCTTCCTCCTCATCCTCAGCAGTTTCATCCCAACCCAAAGACCTTAAAAACCTCGCCTCTTCTTCCTCAGAGTAAAGAATCACATCATGATGCTTCCCATTATCATTAGCATTAGCAATAGCATCACCATTGACTTTCACCTGAGTCAACTCAGACCCACCCTCAGGTGGTGGTGGTGGTGGTGGTGGTGGTGGTGGAGGAGGATCCGCCACCTGTTCACCGGATTTCTCACCAGAAGAGTTGCTGTTACTCATTGATTTTTTCCTCATAAGGTTAAAGAAGTTGCTTCGGCTTTGAGCTTGTGAAGAGGGTCTTTTTTCCACAACTAGAGGGCTGTTTGGTAATTTGGCACTACTACTAGCTGTTGGGCTTAAACTCTCTTTTGTAGTAGGTGAGATTCCGTTTCTTTCACGTGAGGGTTTTAGAACAAGAAGTTTTCCTACACTTGATGTTTTTGAAACTTCAGGCTTCATGGATGATACTACATGTCTAGGAGAATGTGGATGGTTGACTATTTGTGATTGGTTGACCTTCAGTTTTGGTTTATCAGCCTAAACAAAAATTATATTAAAACATAATTACTTTTAGTAAACTCGCAAAAAGGTAATAACTTTTCATGACATGTATTATATAAATTTATAAATTTTTATATTACAAAAACAAAACCAAAATAAAGATTTTACCAAAGCTTTAGGCAAAGATGGAGTCATGGGAATCAACTGTCTGGATTGCTTAACAGCAAGTTCTTCAAGCCTTTGAGTTCCAGAATTCAACTACAATTAACAAAAGACCAAATTTTTTTTAAAAAAAATAGTCATAAATTTAAACACTGTTTCTTCTTTAGTTAATGAGGACATGACTTGATACTTTTTTACTTATCAGAAAAAGAATTACTTAATAAAGAAAGTCAAGAAAAGAAGCTTTTCACTTTTTGCTATAAAGGCTTTACTTTTTATAAACTTTTCAAGATTAATAATATTATACCTGAGGAGCAGTTTGAATACGTGGAGGACCATGAGCCAAAGTTTCTGCCATATTCCTGCCACCTGTCATGCTTGTAGTTGCAGAAACTGAAGATGGTTGAACTTGAACAGCAGTAGTGTTCCCATTACTACCAACAATCACAGGCACCTCAGCCAGGGCGGAGGTCCACCCATCGCCGCCAATCACCGCCGGATTCCCAATTGGAAGGCTCTGAATGGCAGAGCTCAATCCAGGAGAAGGTACTCTTCCTATATCATTATCCACTTGTTTTTCATCTGTTCCAAGAGAAGGAAAATCCCTCTCAAATGATGTCTTTACATTGCTACTTTTGTTAGCAATGCTCAAGTCACTTGCTACTTTTCTAGGCCATGAGTCACCACGTTTTCCAGATACACCTGAAAATGACCTTCTTAACCCTTCCTTTTCAAACCTAGTGGGCAGTATGTTAGCTAAAGGGTCAGAATAGTCTTTTTGCCTGTTGTTGTTGTTGTTATCTTTTTCCCAATCTCTATCCCTATCTCTATCGCGATTGTTTCGATTAAAGCTACTGTAAGATCTTGAAAGAGCCGAACCATTACTAATAGAAGATCGGCGAAAATATGAAGAAGTTGTTCGATCTGAAACTGATACGCGTTGTAATTCGTTATCTAATGACTTGTTTCTCAAGGATTTTGATGATTTTGAAACCCCTTGTTCATCTACATCAAGAAAATGTGGAGAAGTTGAGAGGAGAAAGAGAGTGTTTAATTGGAAAACAAACATGGAAAGAAGAATTACCAGGGTGTGATGATGATGATTGGTGAGATGCGCTCAAGCCTCCACTGCTCTTTAACCATTCGGGTACAAATGTTGGCTCAGTTCTTTCCATAATTAGTAACAAACATCATAAGAAAGGAACAAAAAAGTCCCAAATTGCATCAGGGTGATAATTCTCAATTCTCAAATACTCCCACCTTTTGCTTTGTCTAATGAATCAAGATACTCAATTTAACTAGTTAATCAGCTTCCACCTAATGTTGTAAGACTTGAATACCACCACTATCATCCAATAAAAGAATCCAAAACTATCAACTAAACTGTAAAATAGGGCTCTTTATCTCCCTCGCTCTTCGTATATACTGTGGTTCACTTCCAAATTCGATTCAAGAACAAAGATCAACAACGCTTCTCAGTGTTCAGAAGGCATGGTTCGCGATTAAACAAACTTACAAGACCTTCATGTAATAAAGAGGCTCAATAACCACCCCCAGCAAAACGAAACGTTTTATATCATCAGAAAGCACAAAATATAACCCCTCTTGATGAATTAGCCTACCACCATTACCAATAAACAAACCCTAGAACCCAAAACTCCACAAACAAGCCAGACAAATTGAAACCCCTAGGGTTTGTCCGTCAACCAGAGTACGAAAAAATCAAGACAAGGGTATTGTAAATTTGTAATATATCAGCCGCAAATTATCAAAAATTAAACTGACTAACCCTTAACCGCTTGAATTAAAGGAAAACCCAAAAGAACCCGAAGGCGCCGCCTCTGCTCTTTTGTATGTCTTCGATTAAGCGATTGATTGGGAATGGGAATTTCAAATTCGTCAATATGTGAGACAAGAAAGGAAGCGAAGAGTTTCAATTGGCTTTTTAAGAACGACGAAGATATATCGATAAAGAGAGCATGTAGGTATATAGTACGTGATGGTTTCACAGAGTGTAGAGGGAGAAAAACACCAGGAAGCCGCTTTGATTGCGCCGTGTAGACGAAGAGATTTTATCTCAGTGTGTGTGAGAGAGAAGGAGAGAGAGAGATGGGGGTAGAAGGAAGAAGGGATTCCGGAAGTTTTCTTTGTATTGGGTGTTGGTTTTTTTGGTGTGAAGGCCAAGGGTGAGTTTTTGTGATTAACGTTTTGTAATTATAGAAAATTTGGATTAACCCTAAATCCACCATTTTGTTACCGATGCTAATCCAAATCAAAAACCCCAATTTTCTCCAATGTTGTTTGGATATATTTAATTTTTTTGAATATTACCCATTTAATAAATGCAAATACACTATAATATGACTAAATATGGTTAATTACATTACTTTAAAAAGTTTGTTGCCATTCTTATTAGTTGATCAATTGGCTTACAATTGAAATTTTAGGTGGCATGTTGTTCAAACGAATTTAAGACAAAGTTTGGTCTAACAATGGTAACTAAATTTGGTCATACTACCCTAATGGATCTTTTTTTTTTTTTTTGTAAAGTTTTAGTTTTTGTTGTTGATTTTCAATATTAAATAATCGGTTAGAAATTAATTAAAACATTTATTATGTGAATGCAATATGCATAAATATGGTGTCCTAATGAGTGTCGAACATTTAGACCAATTCAAAAGATTTCTTTTTAGAGATTAAATTTCATATTACATGATATCATAAAAACTATTAGACTCATATATTATATGGCTTTTTTATTATTTTTTTAAATTAAATATGAAAATCTAAATATTTGAAAATTTTAAATTTATAAAAAAATAAAAATAATAATAAATTATTAAATTTGAAATGTTTTTTTCTTTTAAATTTAAACAAATAATTTAAATAAATTGTAACGACCCAAAAAAATCAAGGGTAAAATTTTCATTTTTCATTATACTCAAACACAAATGTTACTTCGTCCAATCATTCAAAAATGCATTGCTTAATTAAAACATTTATCAGAGTTACGTCCCGAAATCACATAATGCGGAAAACATTGGTGTGTGCATTGTGATCAAGTCGGGCCCTGTCTTTCCAAACCAATAATACTTGAAACCATAAACAAACTTTTAAGCACGAAGCTTAGTGAGTTCCCCAGATCATACCCCACATAATTCATATAACCGCATAAACCATATCAATCACATAACCATATCAATCACATCAGCCATGTCAATCACATAAGCCATGTCAATCACATAAGCCATATCAATCACATAAGTCATGTCAATCACATAAGTCATATCAATCACATAAGCCATGTCAATCATATAAGTCATGTCGATCACATAATGATGTCGTGGGCTCATCCCAAGGTCTTACTCCAGGAAGTTGTGGGCTCCCCCTAAGGTCTTACACCTATGTGTCATGGGCTCCCCCGTGGTCTTTACCTGGAAAGTCATGGGCTCCCCCACATGGTCTTACATCCAAGTATCATGGGCTCCCCTTATGGTCTTTACCTGAAAAGTCATGGGCTCCCCCACATGGTCTTACATACAAGTGTCATGGGCTCCCCCCATGGTCTTTACCTAAAAAGCGATGGGCTCCCCCACATGGTCTTACATCCAAATGTCATGGGCTCCCCTATGGTCTTTCATTCAAATGTTACATAAACAAATAGCATAGCACATAGCATATCACCAACTAGCATACCATATATCACTACATCAACTAGTGTAGCATATATCACAAAATGGGTCGGCCTTGGTGCCTTCGACCCATTGGTATGGTGAGGAGACTCACCTCGCACTGCTGAAGTCCCGGGAATAAAACTCCAGTTGCTGGTTTACAGATTCCCGAACTCTCAACATCAAAACAACACCCAATTAATAATTGGGTTCCAATACATAACCATAAGTCTATACTTGGGGTAAAAAGACTATTTTACCCCTAAACTAGCTTGGTTCAAAACCAAGGCCCAAACTCGCACTCTGAAGGCCTAAAAGCCAAATAATCAACCAAGGCCCAACATATGGCCTATTTTTCCAAATTGGGCCCAAACCTCTACATGGTCTTACCTTATGGTCAAACCATTTATCCTAGTCCAAACATTTGGCATTCCAATGACCAAATATCTCATAATCATCAAGGACCAATTATGGCCCACTTATGGCCTAATTTTACAAATTAGGACCAAGCCTTTCAATGGGCCTTATCCTAAAGTCCAATAATTTCCTTAGTCCATAAATTTGTTCCCAATTGGCCTACGAAGGCCCACAGCAACTTAGTCCAAGAAATGGCCCAACAAGAACCCAAACCCAATTAGGGTTTTCACATAAAATGACAATTAGGGTTACGTGTTCTTACTTAACCCCTTAAGGACTTAATCCCTTAATTCCAATATCGCCTTAAGTTAATTGCAAGGGATTATTAATTAATATTTTAAGTCTAATAAATATTTCTAGTTGGGGCCCCATCAGTTCACAAAATTAGGGTTTTCTAAACCATAATTAGGCTTTCGAACCCAAATACTAGCTAATTAGGTCAAAAGATTAAGATCCATGGTTATTAGGTTTCACCAAGTCGGGCACCACCCACTGTCACCTCGGGCAGTGATGGTCGACGACAGCTTACGACGGTGGTGGTGGTGGGTTTTCTTCGGATTTCCAGCCAAAACAAATACATACAATAACTTGCTCATCAACTACACTCACACATACACCATAACACGCACACAACCACTCCTCACGGTGGCTAGTGGCGGCAGAAAGGGTATAAATGGCGGCAGCCACCATAATACGATCTAGCCTCCACCTAATCACATAAATTAATACTCTCATAAATATAAATCTCATAACTATACTCAACCCTCTCTAGGCACCCTCAGACGGGTAAAAGACCATTTTACCTCTCCTTTGGCTCAGAGGCCCTCATTGTTGATCAAACCCTAAAAGTCAACGGTCAAACTTTGACCCGACTCGTTGAGTGCACTTGGGTAACTCGATGAGTCCACACGTGTCCACTAACTCCTAGTCTCGTTTGGCATGTCGAGTCCCTCCCCTTGCTCGACGAGTCACACCTGGCATGAATCGCGGGGCTACCCCGACTCAACTCGTCGAGTCTCAAGATCAACTCGGCGAGTTCCGTTTTGAACTCCAGTCCTCTAATCCCTCTCTGACTCACTGAGTTATTCCCCCAACTCGGTGAGTCCACTTGCTGAGTGATTTACGTGAAACCCTAACCCTACTCGCCGAGTCTGGTATTTGGACTCGGCGAGTTCATGCCATGCAAACACTCCATTGACCTCCTGAGGTCAGATCTATTCCTTAAACCCATAGATCTGACTTTCCCAAGCATGATAATCATGTAAAGTTCGGACCTTGACACTCATATAACATCTAGATGATCCTACTTTGTGATTTAGCCCCAAAAATCAACTCCTAAGTTCATGGCTACTAAAATAACCCACAAAGCTCCATGGGTTAAGGTCTCTGGACCTCTTTGAGTCTAGATCCAAAGCATAAACTCGAGAAGGGACAAATTGCTCCACATATCCATTCTCTAAAGGGGTTAGAAAACCCTAACTCTAATAATCAACACCAAAACCGAAGAAGGACTGAAATAATACCTCAAGATGAAGTCTCTGAACTCTGAAAGCACAAGATCCATTCCTCCTTCAACCTCCTCTTGCCTTGGTCACTTCCCTTTTGCAATTACACCAACAAAACGATCAAAAGTGGCCTCTCCTCCCTCACAAATGTTGTAGATCTCTTAGGGTCTCTCTCTGGGGTTTGGTAGCTGCAAATAATGGCCCTAATGGCCTTTAAATAGGTGCCAAACCCGGGAAATTAGGGTTCGCCAAGTCCACTCATGGACTCGCCGAGTCCGGTCATGAACCCGGATGAGAATTTGCAACCCTACTCGGCGAGTCTAAGCATCAACTCGCCGAGTCCCTCTACAAACTCCAAAATAAATGAATAAAATAATATAACTGGGAATCCGGATGTTACAATTCTCCCCCACTAGAACCAGACTTCTCCCTCGAAGTCTCACTCTGCAAACAACTCTGGATGCTACTCACGCATCTCGCGCTCCGGCTCCCATGTCAGCTTTGACCCTTTCCTATGCTGCCACTGCACCTGCACCAGAGGCACTTCCTTGTTCCTCAGAACCTTGACCTTCCGATCTATAATTGACACCAGTCTCTGAACATAGTTCAGGCCCACATCCACCTGAATATCCTCTAATGGTACCACTGCTGACTCGTCGGCTATACACTTTCTCAACTGCGACACGTGAAAAGTGTCGTGAATCTGACTCAACTCCGCAGGTAGCTCCAAACGGTAAGCTACCCTGCCTACTCTCGCGATCACCCTGAAAGGTCCAATATATCGAGGCCCCAACTTTCCCCTCTTCCTGAATCGGATCACTCCTTTCCAAGGAGAGACCTTCAGGAGCACGAAGTCACCGACCTGAAACTCGAGTTCGGACCGACGCCTGTTCGCATAACTCTTCTGACGACTCTGAGCAGTCAACAACCTCTGTCTGACCTGCTGTATTTGCTCAGTCGTCTGAAGCACAATCTCTGTACTACCCATCATACGTTGCCCTACCTCTCCCTAGCAAATGGGGGTCCGACACCTCTTCCCATACAACAGCTCAAATGGTGGCATACCAATGCTCGAATGATGGTTGTTGTTGTAGAAAAACCCTGCCAATGGCAAATATGTGTCCCAACTCTGGCCAAAATCCAACACACATGCTCGGAGCATGTCCTCGAGCGTCTGAATTGTCCGCTCACTCTGCCCGTCACTATGTGGGTGATATGCGGTACTAAAATGCAGCCGCGTACCCAACTCCTCATGAAATTTCTTCCAGAATCAGGAAGTGAAACGCACATCTCGATCCGAGACAATCGAGATTGGTAATCCATGCCACGATACCACCTCTCTCACATACAACTCTGCCATCCTCTCCGCATAAGAGCTCTCGCTAATAGCAAGTAAGTGAGCGCTCTTCGTCAACCTGTCTACAATCACCCAAATTAAATCAACACCCCTCGCAATCCTCGGCAATTTGGTGATAAAATCCATAGTAATATGTTCCACTTCCACTCGGGAACCTCTAACGGCTGCAACTTACCATGCGGTCTCTGGTGCTCGGCCTTAACCCTACGATAGGTTAGGAACCTCTGAACGAACCACGCGACGTT